GAAAGAGTAAAGTATCGGGAGTGAGAATCTTGCATGGGGAAGGTGACAAACGCAGGAGGGAGATGAATCCGATAATTTTTATAGACAAAATGTGACTTGCTGGTTTTCCGATGGGTACCTTTTCATTTATTTGTTTATTTCTTTCTCTCTTTGTTTATTATTATAGAAAATTCCAAATAAATACTCTCTCTCTCTAGGGACACCTTTTGATTTTTCCTTCATTTGTTTTGTTTTCTTTCTCTCTTGAGAAAATTATAAATAAAATAAAAAAATTGTTTAAATATCATTTATAAATATACAAATTTTTATCTTTTTAATAAATTGAACATTTTCTTTTAAATGTCTATACAAACTCTAACAAGAATATTTTTTTTTTTGAAAATTTTTGCGTTATTATTATACTTTTTTTTTTTGGGTAAGGTTCACATGGGAAGTAAGGTATGTTCAAACAGTACTCTAACTAGTATTTGGACTTTGGAGGGGGGAAAAGTTGGCATTTTTGTAGCTTTTATGGTTTGGAGGTAAACAGACGACAGAGTATCTACGTTATAACAAAAGTAACGTTTCTAACGTATGTTTTAAAACCATGTATTTGATTTTTCATAGATCCGTATCGAAATGTTGGCACCAACCTCTTTTTGTCATTATTCAAATATATACATGATGGATTCATAATTTCCACGTGAGACCCATCAAAGAAACTGTTGAGGGTGTGGAGTGAATATGCTGCCGAGTGATTCTTGAAAAGATTGAAAACGAGGAAGATGCATGGAGGAGTTGGGTGGATGTACACTGTGCGTGCAGATGCATGGAGAACATCATCATCATTAATAATAATAATAATAATAATAATTTATTTTTTATTTTAAAAAAAGTTAGGTTTTGAGAGATGCTCTCTTTAGTTAGGCACAGATTGAGATAACTTCAAAGTGTTAGACTTACGATGGGAACCGAGAAAACTTGTCTCTGCCTTTTGAATAATTTGTCTTCACTTACTGTCGGCAATGCTAACTCTATTATTTATTTATTTTTTTTTCCTACTTACTGTATATAATTATAACCATTTATTAAGAACGATTTTGCTCTCATATAAATTGAAAGTTACATAAGTGATCATGAGTACATATATATCAAACATCTTATAGATTCAAACTACTAAAATGTCGTATGAATTTTTAATTAAAGGAAGCGCCGTTCGCGTTGGAATAAGCAATCGCCGGGAAACTCGCCGTCGCCGTGAAGACTACTCTGTCCTTTTTAATGCACTCAATAATCTGTTACCATTCCAAATACTATTTCTTTTTAATATTTGTTAATTTAATTGTCATGTAGCAAAAAATAAATAAATAGAGATAATGGGTAGGGGTGTCAAAATCACCGGGCCGGGCCAGCCCGGCCCGAGCCCGACACAAGCCCGAATATTTACGGGTCGGGCCGGCCCGGCCCGAAAAACCAACGGGCCTAAAATCTTCGGCCCGGAGCCCGGCCCTATGGGCTTTTTTCGGGTTCGGGCCGGGTTTCGGGCTTAAAATTTTTTTAAAAAATTATAAACAAATTAAAATAATAAAAATACAAAAAATTTTAGTACATTTCGTGATAATTAAAAAAATAAAAAATAGATTACAAAGTTATATATTTTGATCTAATATAAATTTAAATTTAAAATTTTTTAATTTTATATGGTAATAAATTTTTAAAAATGATAATTTATTATATTTTTCATTTGGAATAAGTATTTGAAACTAATAGTATTATAATTTTGATTATATCATTTATGAAAATATTATATCCTGAATTATTTAGTATTAAACAAGTTTTTAGTTTTTAGAACTTTCTATTATTATATAATATTTGTATATTTTTTATATATGTATATACATTATAAAATATATATATATATATATATAAAAAAAAAAGATTGAATAAATGTATATATATGATCAAATATGTGTGAAATATATATATGTATATCTATATTTACCTATATACATATATATTTATACATATAATTTATTTTTTTAATCGGGCCTACGGGCCGGGCCGGGCCGACCCGGCCCGAACCCGCTTTTGGCCCGTAATTTTCCGGGCCGGGCCGGCCCGGCCCGAAAAACGAACGGGCCTTGATTTGTAAAGCCCAAGCCCGCAAATTTTACGGGCGGGTTCGGGCCGGGTATCGGGCCTCGGGCTATTTTGACACCCCTAATAATGGGTATTTGGGATATGTGATGGTCATATAAAGTTTAGATTGTGAAACGGATAAAGCTTACAAGGTTGTTGAACTGCCCCCAAATGTCTTTATATAAAAAAAAGGTCATTTATTATTTATTTAAACGACACTGCGGGTTCATTGGCATTCATTCAATTATATGATTTTAATATAGGACACCCCGAGTAATCGGATTTAGTTATATTTCATAAATTAATTATAAATGAACTTTTCAAGATTTTTTTTTAAAAAAAATTTAAATATGGCACGAAAATTTTTTAATGGCTTCCTCTCCTAGTCAGTCCTAGTCGCTCGTTGGCGATGTCATGACGACAAAAAGAAGAAAAGTCCATAATAGTGAGGGTATTATTGTCAATTTGGTCTTCTCACAAACGCAGCGTTTTGATCTGCACATCGAACGTGTGTTTCCAAAGGCGAATGTCCAACGGTTGGGCTTTTTGTAAGCCCATTAATTTGTCTTTTACCGAATTCAAATTTGAAATTTGTTATAAACTATTTTCTGATTTTTACGAACCCGGCCCATCTCAATTTCGATTTTTTGGATCTGGACCGAGTAAATGACTCATTGAATTTGACCTGTAATAAAAAAAATGTCTTGTTAAAATATATAAAAAAAATGTTGTTAAAATATCTGAAAAAGGTTTGATGTCCTATTTTTTTTCTTTCCTTTTAATATTAAAATTGAAGCATTGAATACCAAAAGAAGTGGTGAAAAAAGGAGATAATACCAAAAAACTAAATAAGAAATGAAAAAAAAATCCCCGATTATTTGCCACGTGTAGTAGCTTTTGTACACGTGTCGACTTGATTGGGCCTTTACCTTTTGCTTTTGGAATAAGGGTGGAATGGAATATAATAGGAGCAACTTTTTTTTTTTTATATCCCGAAAGCCTTTATCCGCAATAATATGTAATTAATAGCGGTAATCTAATATTATATTTCTTCCACGTATGAATAAAATTATATTTCATATGTATAATATTTTGTATGGATTTTCTTTCTTTTTTTCAATTGTATGAATTTCATTTATTTATTGTATATGTATTTTCTTGTTTAAATTGCATATTTATTTCCGTCTTCGTTATAGTATTTTGTAATCAATATGATTAGTTTATTATTCATGAAAACAAAAACTAATGATGGCCGTACTGATTACTCGTGAAACATTGCATGATTAAAAGTTCTATTCCACTTGAGTTCTACCCCACAAAAAAATTTAAAAAACATATTGTATCTTTGTTACTAAATTAATACTTTTATATCTCTATAATGGTCATCTCTTGTACATAATTCTTTTTTATCTAATCCGCAATTTATATATATATATATATAATTCGGAATTTTACCCGCCCAAACTTGGGTAATCCGCAATTTTATTTGTGCCAAAAAATACACCATATCTAATATTGGACAGCAGCAACCAACTGTGACGTAAATTTTCAGCATTGCATATGTACCAAGCATGGTTATACATGTGTGGGCATATATTATATATACCTGTATATCCAATTATGTTAAATATTATAATGTCGACATATATTGAAATCTGTAAATATGTGATTGACGGCAATTTATTAAATACAGGCTGTAATAATTTTATTTCGGGTTGTATATTGAATAAGTTTGAAACTAGCTAGAAGCCTAGAACTATAAGCATCAATATTCCGTTATATTAGAAATATAATTCCATAAAAGATAAATAGCTTTAATTTTCCATAACACTATAATTCTTAGTATGTTATATATATATATATATATATATATATATATATATATATGTGTATATATATATATGCTTTGGTATTTAAGCATGTAAATTATGATTTTTATTTTTCTACATCGCGTCCGTAAAAGTTGTTAAAAAGAACTAAAACTATAAAATGAAAAAGGTCCAATGAGGATGAAAAAATATATTATATAAAAAAAAGTAAAGGTACTGAATTAACTTTACAGCTATTTTTTCTGAAGTTGTCTTTTAAAATTGCAAGAAATGGAAACAGATGGTCCAATGTCACCTCAAATTTTCCAACTTTATGTCAATATACAAGTTATACTATATGGTAGTCAAATGAATTGAAATATTATTTTGAAATTGTATTCAATATATTGACTTTTTTTTTTTGTAATTAGACACCCACTGTTCACTATTCTTGGCCCATACAATTAACGAGAAATGTAAAAAACAAGCAAGCCGATGTTGTGGACTTGTGGACACTAATAAGTAGAAAAAACAATTAGTCTTATATTTTTCATAATTTTTTTTTTTGGGTTTTAATGTGATTGTATTAAATCTCAGAAATTGTTACAGAAGCTATTAGAACAGAAAACATTTACAAAGGTTTGGATTCCCATACACAAGTGGTAAAAAGATTTCTCCTAAATGCCGAGAAAATGAGATAGTGAGTTATCTAAGACCTTCCGTTAAATAGTACCAATCTTCAAGGAGACGTTTTGGAGCCGTGGTGTTTTCCAACTGTGTTGACAGTAATAACATACGCATATGATTTTTCATAATTAACTTGCATTATTTAATTTTAGTGATATTAATTGCTTTTGTGTACATATGTCGTTTGTATATTAGTATATATATATATATATATGACATTTTTTATTTTATTTTTTAAATTGTAAAAAAAATCTAAAATGTCATTTATTTAGAAACGAAAGTAGTAATAGGCCGATAGGTTACAATGTCACTCACCCACACACACGATATATGTTTATATATACACACATATATATACACGGACAAGCATATATAGTATATATGTTATAATCACGCATAACGTGATATTCATCATCCTGTACGTCCTGGTATAATCGTGACCATAAATCTTTATATAATATCAACAAATATCTGATCAATTGGAAGAAGAATCCAAGGGTTACATGCATGTTTCTTTCTCCATCGACAATGACAAGTTTTTTTCCAATCACTTTATAATCACATTTCTAGTTTTGTCCCCATCTGTTTGGTCGTGAGGGAAGATTAAATTCCACTAAGGAGTGTCTCTCTCTCTCTCTCTCTCCCATTCACCTTTGATTCAACGATTGAGCAGTATTCCTTACATTGACACTACTGTCTAATCATGATGACTTGCCCTAATCTCCATAACTAATCATGCATTATACAAAAGCAAGTACTAAGAATGTAAATGTATTGTACCATATAATATGCGCTGTTATGTAAACTTATTTTTTTTTATGATATTTCCAAAAAAGCTTTTGTTGAATAACACGGTACTGGGTTTGGATTATTGCGGAGATACGGAAAGTTTGGGTGAAAACTCAAACAGAGCAACTGTATATTTGATTGTTCCTACAAATCGGCAACAGATTTATTTGTTTCCTAAATTTGTTCTAGGTTAGTTTCGAGTTATTCTGTATAAGTTCTGTAATTCTGATGATCAATACAAGAAGTTCTTTTCCGAAAACCTCGAATCTGCTTGATACTTATCATGGTATCAGAGCCTGACCAACTCAAAATCTGATTCCCGACCCCTGTTTTTTATGCCAGAAAACACCTCTGAATCCTCGAACCTCGACTCATCTCCGACCATGGCCCAACCGACTCCTACAACCGAACCTGTGATTTCTGCGAGGCGAACAATTTCGCCATATGATTTGACGCCAAGTGACAACCCTGGATTAGTCCTCTCTCAACCTCTGCTTCGTGGAGAGAACTATGATGAATGGTCGATTAATATCCGCCAAGCTCTGAAATCGCGAAAGAAGTTTGGTTTTGTCGATGGCACAATTCCAAAACCTCCAGAAACGTCAATCGACTTTGACGATTGGGACACAAACAATGCACTGATTGCTTCCTGGATCAAGAATACGCTGGAGCCGCATCATCGACTAAGTATCAGTGACAGTGAAGGGCTCGCCGACCCTGAACCTTACCGACACCTCGTCGGCAAACTCCTGTATCTGCTGGCAACACGACCAGATATTACTTATGCGGTTCACATATTATCGCAATTTATGCAGAACCCCCGACAAGATCATTGGACCGCCGCTCTTCGGGTTGTTCGTTATCTGAAATTGAATCCAGGCCAAGGAATATTTCTACGAGCTGATTCTGATCTCACACTTTATGGCTGGTGTGACTCGGACTGGGCTGGCGATCCTCACTCTCGCCGCTCTCTATCTGGTTATATCGTCCAACTCGGCTCGTCCCCTGTTTCTTGGCGTTCAAAGAAACAAAACACAGTTTCCCTGTCTTCTGCAGAGGCCGAATACAGGGCAATGGGAGCCGCAACTTGTGAACTCCTCTGGTTAAAATCTCTCTTGTCCTCTCTCGGCGTTCCTCATCCGGACCCAATGGTGCTCCATTGTGATAGTCAAGCTGCATTACACATCGCCGCCAACGCCGTCTTCCACGATCGCACGAAACATATAGACGTCAACTGCCATTTTCTACGACATCACATCCAGTCCGGCGACATTGCAACCAAGAAAGTCTCCTCCCAAGCACAACTGGCAGATATCTTTACTAAAGCTCTCGGTCAAAAAGAGTTTCAAGCATTTTTTACCAAGTTGGGCATACAAAACTTATACGCTCCAACTTGAGGGAGGGTATTGCGGAGATACGGAAAGTTTGGGTGAAAACTCAAACAGAGCAACTGTATATTTGATTGTTCCTACAAATCGGCAACAGATTTATTTGTTTCCTAAATTTGTTCTAGGTTAGTTTCGAGTTATTCTGTATAAGTTCTGTAATTCTGATGATTAATACAAGAAGTTCTTTTCCGAAAACCTCGAATCTGCTTGATACTTATCATGGATTTCAATATTAAAGACTAGCCAAAAATATTATAAAGTGATGAGAATATGGAGTTACTATAAAGATAAAAGACTTGAATAAGTATAGTACAAGTGTATAGATTTACGAGGTGAAACAGACATGAATTCTCTTTACATGGATGGACGGGACGTAACCATGTCGGGCAAAAACACCATGAAACAGATAGACAAACGACGTGACGTACCATATAACCCCCCCTTTTCTTCTTTGGTTTTTTGTCCCCTTCCCCATGCCCTCGTTTAATCACAACCATGCATTTCCACGTGGCATATTCTCCTTCCCCTAACGACATAAAATGTCGATCTATGTTTTTAATTATCGACCAAAGCGAAGAAGAAAATGAATTCTTCTTTGAATTTGATACCTTAATGTGAGCAGGAATTAACTGATCATATGGGCTGGAATTTAATGCTGCTTCGATATTTCGATTATACGCATAGTCCCAAGGTGAAATGCGAATACCCAAAATAGATGAGCATCTGTCAGATGAGCTGCAGATGCGTGACGCACCATTATCCGTTCACCATAAATTCACAATTTCGATTTTTTCCTCGAATTTTTAAAATTTAAAAAATCATCCACCAAATCCTACTGTACATAATCGAGAATATTCAAAACAAAAAGGTAACAAGAGCAGATCCCAAAAAAAAAAAAAAAAAAAACTTAAAAAGGGGAAATGGAGACTAAACCGGAACTGGTCCTTGCCTTAACCGGACTGACCATAAAACAGTAGAAAGCTCATTTTTTTAATCTATCAGAAAGCTCCACGACAAACATAGACGATGTGTGAAAAGACGATTTTGCCCCTCCATCGCCCAACCCCACGATGTCATATGCTCAGGAGATCGGGTGGAACCCGACCGGGGTCATTTCCGTCATCTCCTCTCCCGCCCTTCGGTGACGACTCATGCGCCGGCGACTTCTCCCCGGCGGTGGGATCCGGCTTTGAAGGGGGCATTTTGGGAATTTCAGCGAGGATCTGGACGACTTCGCGCATTGTGGGCCGCTCCACGGCCTGCTCTTCGACGCATAGCATGGCGACGTAGAAGACATGCGTTACTTCTTGGATGGGCACTGAGGACAGCCTCGGATCTATCACTTTCACCACTGATTCTTTGTTCGAATCCGTCATTTTGCGTACCCATTGGACGATATCGACGCCGTCTCCAAATTCACCGACGGGTTTCCTCCCGGTGATGAGTTCGAGAAGAACTACACCAAAGCTGTAGACATCGCTCTTCTCGTCCACTTTCAATGTATACGCATATTCTGTACAATGCCATCAGTTTGTTTAAAACCTTTGTAAAAAAGCATTGAAATCTACATTCTTTTCTCCGAATTCTAAAATCATATGGCTGACACTTTGAACCATCATATGAGATTTCGAGGTTGTTTGATACCTGGAGCGATGTAACCGTAAGAACCGGCGATGGCGGACATGCATTCAGAAGTGCCGGAATCTTGCAAGAACTTGGCAAGACCAAAGTCAGCGACATGAGCTTCGAAGCTGGAATCAAGAAGGATGTTGTTGGACTTGACATCCCTGTGAACGATCAGAGGGGAACAGTCATGGTGGAGATAGCAGAGTCCCTTAGCGGCTTCAAGTGCGATCTTGTACCGTGTGTCCCAATGCAAATGCCCTCCTTTCTTCCCGTGAAGAACCTCGCCCAGGCTACCATTGGGCATGTATTCGTACACGAGTAGATTTGTCTCATGGTTCGAGCAAAACCCGAGCAACCTCACAATGTGTCTGTGTCTGATCCTCCCCAGTGTCTGAATCTCGGCATTGAACCCATGATCGTGGGAAGATCCACGTGTCATCGCCGGCAACCTCTTGACGGCGACTTGGTCGCCATTAGGCATCACGCCTTTGTAGACGATGCCAGCACCACCTTTGCCAATGATATTGTCTTCCTTCAGACTGTCCAAAACATCATCACAAGTGAAATCTAATCTCTGGAAAGCTGTCAGCCTCCATGCCCGTGACACACTCGCCCTTTTCAAGGATCGGGCTTTGATTATGGCTGCTATAGCGAACGCAATGGAACATATGAGCAACCCCAGGACGATTAACAGTTTCATGGAGGCAGATAAGGATCCTTTAACATGAGGCTGGTGAGTTCCTTTGGCAACTCCGTCTTTACAAGGACCCAGATACGGACCACACAAATCCGCATTGCCCAAGAAAGATGTGTAATTGAAGTAACTGAACTGTCCGGATCCCGGAACTAAACCGGAGAGATTGTTGTAAGAGAAATCAACGGATGTCAAGCTCTGCATCGAAGCTACAGAAGCAGGAATCGGACCTACGAGATGGTTTCTGGACAAGTTTAAGTAATTCAGTATCCTCATACCCGTGATCTCGTTTGGGATTTCACCAGATAGCTCGTTTCGACTTAGATCAACAAAAGTTAGGAGCTTGCATTGGCTAATCTCCGGTGCTATCCGACCCGAGAGCTGGTTGTGGCTGATATCCATCTTCGACAGCTGCTGAAGCTTCCCGACCTGCGGCGGAATCGGACCCGTGAATTTGTTTCCGTCGAGGAGAAGTTTCTGGACGCCATAGAAGTTTCCGATGGCCGGAGGTAACGGACCGGAGAGCTGGTTGTTGGACAAACTGATCTGACCAAGGTTCACGGCTACCCTGCCACTCACCGGAAACTCGCCACTGAGGTAGTTGTCTTGGAGCTCGACTTGGGACAGTTTGGGTAGTCCGAAAAGTCCCTTCGGAATCGACCCGTTGAGGAAATTCTCGCCCATCCGGATCCGAGTCAGGGACTCACACTCGCCGAGTGAATCCGGGATGGAGCCAAACAAGAAGTTGCTGAGAGTGATTAGGGTCTGTAACTTGTTGCCGGAGCACAAGTTCGGCGGAAGAGTTCCAGTGAGCTTGTTGGAGGACAGGTCGAGAAACTGTAGTTTACCGTTTTGCCCCAATTTCTGGGGAATGCTTCCAGTGAAGTTGTTTTCCCATAGCTGCAACACCTCGAGCTGAGGCAGATCGCCGATAAACTCCGGTATGGCACCATGGAGCTTGTTCCTGAAAAGATTCAAGAGCGTCAGGTTCTTCAATTGTGCAAAGCTTGCCGGGATCTCGCCTGTGAACATATTGTTGGACAAATCCATGGATTTCAAGCTTGAAAGCGTTCCGAGCTCCGTAGTTAATGGCCCAGAAAGCGCATTCACTTGGAGAAACAACGTGTCAAGCTTCTGCAGCTTCCCAACCTCGGGAGGAATCTTGCCGGTCAAACCACAGTTGGCGGCGTCGAACCGAACGAGCTCCGACAAGTTTCCGATCTCCGGAGGAAGACCATCTTCGAAAGCGTTGTAGTAACCGATATAGAGTTCCCGGAGAGTAGTAAGGTTTCCGATCTCCGGAGGGATTTTCCCGACGAGCTCATTCCCTGATACCGCCAGATACTCAAGAACCGGCCAGCTACCATACGCAGGCGGGATCCGACCGGCGAAATAGTTCCCACCCAGGTGGAGATGTCGGAGGTGGGTCAGGTTCGTGACAGAGACCGGCAAATCTCCGGTCAGATTGTTGTTGTACAAATCGAGAACCCGGAGATTCACCGCCCCGGCGGAGAGTTCATCCGGAAATGAACCGTTAAATACATTGTTGGAGAGATTAAGGTAGCGAAGCCCAGACAGAGAGGAGACCTCCGGTGGGATGGGACCGGAGATTTGGTTGGAAGCAACGGACAAGTTCTGCAACAGGAACAAGTGAGCGATGTCGGGGGAGAGAGTCCCGGAGAGGTTAAGGCCGGACAGGTCAAGGGAGATCACGTGACGGCCGGAGGCGTCGCAAGTGACACCGGTCCATGCACAGAAGGTGGTCGAGTCGTTCCACGTGGCGAGCGGCGACGAATTTGGGCCGTCTCCGGCTCCGGAGAGGGAGGATTTGATGGACAGAAGTGCTCGGAACTCAGAGATTGGTCGGCCGTCGGTGAAAATCTGGGAAATATGGAGAAGAAGGAGAAGGAGAAGGAGGAGACGAATCTTCATGATCTCTCTCTCTCTCTTCGAGAGAGTTAGGGTTCGGTTAGGAGAAGGTGAGTGTGGGGGAGGGTAAGTGAGGAAGAAGATGAGGATGGCGTGATTTTCTTTTATATTATGAATTTCTTTTATTTTGTTGTACATTTAAAAACGGAGGGAGATGGAAATTGGAAGCCCAGCCACGTCAGATTTGCGAGGCAAAAATGTTCAATTAATTTTAAATAGAAAAACATATTAAATTTCACGGCTGGATGGATACACAGTTAACAAAAATTATAATCGATGTACAATTTTTTTTCCACCATGAACATTTCATTTAGGTCATTGAAAAGTTCAGATGCTTCAAAAATCTATGTAATATATTTTGGATGGATCTCAAGAAAATATTTTTTTCACTATTGGAAAAATTGGGAGAATTTCATAAAATGTTATAGTAGATTTTTCAGTTATTTAAAAAGCTATGGCACTTGTATTTCTTTCTTACTTCCCTTAGTAAAAATCAGCACACGTCAATGCTGTCTATCTATTCTTGAAGAACGCATACTGGACTTTAGAAACAAAACAACGGATAAATAATTCGGGTAAATCTCCTGTAATCAGAAAGCGACGAAAAAAGATTAAAGGGTCGTTAGCGGTAATTAACAATCGATAATTAAAAAGAGCGG